CGCAATTTTTGGCCTATCTCAACCATCCACTGCTAAATTGGGCTATCTCTGTCAATTCTTTAGAAATTTTAATATGTGATTCCATTTAGAGAAAACAAGAAAATTGGTGGAACCTGTTAAATTGATTACTCCGTGTACTTGAGTCTCTTTCCTCCTGGGTTTGAGTTTCACCAGACGCTGTTATATAACTGATCTCCTCCTAGCAATCACTCTATCAATCAATCAACTAATATTGACTATAAAAAACTGGTCTTCATTTAATTTAGATTTTAATCAATCACACATAATCCATATGAACCCTAACAAACAATCCATCAATCTTTCAAAATCAATTAACCATTTAAGAATCAATCAATCAATCAAACAACCAATAAATTGTTCAAGAGCATCACAATAAATTGTTCAAGAGCACAGAAAGAAAAGGCAACTGTTCAATGCTTGACGTACAAACTTTACATTGTACAGTGTAGTGTCCATACCTCCCCTGTCCCAGGTCTCTGCCATTGTGTAGTTCTAGCGATATGATTGACGTAGTAGGTTCTACCGTTAGCATCCTGTCTTTCTTCCCAGCCAGCCGGTAGGGGTACACTGCAGTACAGTACAGTACAGTTAGTATAGGTAGAGGTACACCGCAGCACAATACAATTAGTATAGGTAGGGGTACACTGCAGTACAGTAAAGTCAGTATAGGTAGGGGTACACTGCAGTACAGTACAGTTAGTGTAGGTCGGAGTACACTGCAGTATAGTACAGTTAGTATAGGTAGTGGTAAACTGCAGTGCAGTACATTTAATATAGGTAGGGGTACTGCAGTACAGTACAGTTAGTACAGGTAGGGGTACACTGCAGTACAGTACAGTTAGTATAGGAAAGTGTACACTGCAGTGTACAGTTAATATAGGTAGGAGTACACTGCGGTACAGTTAAGTTAGCATAGGTAGTGGTAAACTACAGTACAGTATACTTAATATAGGTAGGGGTACTGCAGTACAGTACAGTTAGTATAAGTAGAGGTACACTGCAATACAGTAACGTTAGTATAGGTAGGGGCACACTGCAGTACAGTACAGTTAGTATAGGAAGGGGTACTGCAGTACAGTACAGTTAGTATATGTAGGTAGGGGTACACTACAGTACAGTAGTAAGTAAAGGTATTGTCACACTGCAGTACAGTTAGCATAGGTAGGGGTACACTGCAGTATAGTAAAGTTAGAATAGGTAGGGTACACAGCAGTACAGTAAAGTTAGTATAGGTAGGGGTACACTGCAGTACAGTAAAGTTAGTATAGGTAGGGGTACACTGCAGTACAGTAAA